AGTACTTGTGTTGTCAATAGGCAGAAGTTATCTGTTTATTTCTCTCCTCGTCTGTCTACTAGACTTAATCAAGTGATAATGTACATGAAGGCATCTACCTCCATTGTGCCTGTAATCCCTAAAACGTGGGTTTCACTATAATACGCGAGCGTCTTGTCTAAAAACTTAATTACTGCAACGATAGACACCGAAGGCTTTAAACATATTCTGACACACACTTTAAAAGAAAGCTAGATCCGTCGCTTGAATAAACAACTACACACTTCAATCTTCAAAAGATTTTCTCCCTCGTGGCGTTTCTAACCCGCCATAATTGACAATAAGCCAACTAGTTGCCGACATTCTCTCTCACCTGTACTTAAAGTAAATTGTAGAAGATCAAACGAAGTCGTCAATATAGATGTTACAAAAGGTGGATCAACAGGCTAACTTAGAAAAAAGGCACAAAATTCAATTTCTTTTGCTCGGGTGTCTTTAATATACAGAGCGAATTTACTCAACTACGCTGAATACTCTACATAGGTGGGGGTGTTCGGTTATTTCCGCTGCATTCCGTAGGAGGGCGAAACCAAAAGTTCTGCAGGATAGTCCATGGTATGGGGTGCAAATGGTTTGATATTCTACAAAGGGAAAGACAACAACATTTTGTCCAAATTACGAAACATTTTAAATTACTCGTCGTGTTACCGTCTTCTATATACAGATTTATTACGTGTATTCATTTCGAAAACTACATAATTTCGCCAAGTGTATTTACTCCAAAGAATCATTGCACAACGCAAGCGTAAGGTTACATATCCAGTAATTTCAGTCTAGTGGAATGTCCATGGAATGGATGTGTAAGCCATTTGTGCGATACTTGTATGTCCAGCGGGCCCGTGGCTCTCAAATCATGACAATTAGATTTCAGTAGTTATTATTTTATGTAAGCTACATACATTTCTACGCTAGTTATGTCAGTTACCCAAAGGAAATAACAAGTGGTTAAATGGTGGCTCGTGGCAGTTTTCATGTAGTATGTATGTTTTTATAGGGGATGTATTTGGTAGCTGAAACTTGTCTTATTGTTGATAAAACCTTGGTGAATATAAAGATGTGGTGTCATAATAAATAGCAAGTGGATGCTGAATGGTATCGGAATATTTGCGAACTTTGTCCGTCCCAGACCCTCGGAAAATCTACATAATCAATGCTGAGGAGGAGGTGATATGCCTGTCTGCTCTCGCCCATTTCATATTTCACATGTTTAACGTTTTGTAAAAAACTAAATAAAAACCACAATAGTAAGCATACTCATCCAGCCAAATCATACAATGGCGATTATATTCTATAAAATAATTTGTGACTATGGTCTTCCAGATGTAACAGTGTCTGTCTTCCTGTCTTAAAAAACATTGTCCAAATCACCATAAACGGTTGCATTTTCCCTTTGCGGTGCACCTGTCCCATCCAGCGAGGTGGCAAAAGGGTGGGGATTATAGGTTACCTCACCACCCCACCTACCAATTCTCCCTTTATAACCCTAGCATAGCTTACAAATGTTTGGGTTTTTTTTGTATTTCCAGTGATTACTCAATTGAACCCTTATATTCAACGTCAAAAAAGTAAAATTTTGTATTGAAAACATCAGATAAAGTCATCGTAAGTGGAGCCAAAATTTAAATAAAATTTGTAAAATTTTCTCCGGGGCAACCCATCTACCGTCTTAGACCATTGGTAGATTGATCTGGAAGGGAGATTCTAGCCAAATTTAGATAATGCATTTAGCTATATCTGGACTCGGAGGTTTTAAGTTGGTCCCTGTTACACATAACCATTATAGTCTACTATCTCTAGACGAATATATGATCTGAGAAGATCAGTCCATTGGTCTTGGCGGATATTCTAGCAAAAGTCAGATAATGCATAGCTATTCTGGATTCGAGATTCTTTTGTTTCATCAAGGTTTCCGTGTTCTACCCAAATTAGACAGAGGAGCATTACACATATTTGGAAATTCCAAATTGGAATTGTATCAAAGAAGCGACAAATGCAGAAAGCAGTTTAGGAGGAATAGTCAAAAGCAGGTCAACTAGTATCGACAAAGACTATATACGTTCTGATCTGTCTGTGTGATACGTTAGCATGATTTTAGTGTACCTGCAGGTTTGACGTGAAACGCCTCCAAGTATTTTAATGTCAATTGAATCATGGGTAAAGATACCCCTGTGGTTTTACACCCATAAACACATTTCAAGTTACATGGAGGTCGGGTTATAAAACATACAAAGCCTTACAAAGTTATACATCAAAACAAATATTATTTAATTACGTATTTATAAAATTCAAGCAAAAAAGTTAGGTCCTCTTTTTTTACCATATTATTTTTATAGTTTTTTCGAGAATATAAATAAAATGTGTATAATCAGATACAATGTGTCAAGTTTTTATATATTTATGATCGCAATATCCTAACCCACGGAACAACAAACTCGTGTGCAATACAGGTGTTTACAAGAATGTGTAACGCCTCCAGGAAGCTAAAACTACGATAAAGCTTCGCGAGGCCAATAAGATTTGCCCTGAAATATGGATTTCGATAGGATTCTTTCTTGTTAGTATGTTTTGTATATTTTATTTATTGTCAAGTGTTTATTATGGATTAATTCTCGGGTAAAGCAACCATAGAGATTTACCAGGCACTTATCGTCAATCAACTTTTGAAGTATCATTCGCGCCATTAATACAAAATGCCTCAGAAATGATTTTCGAACGGGTTCTTTCCAGTTAGCTTCTGAATTTCTTTTATTTATTCTGAAGGGTTTTTGATTTGCCTGAACCGTAGTGATTTATCAGTCGATGTACATTATTGAAAATTAAACCCCATTTAATTTAATTTTTGGTAGGCTAATTCAGCCCAAGAATTCCGTCCTCTTTATTACAATTTCTTTTCCTTTATTTCCCGTAATTCACCTTAACATTTGAAGCCCGGTATACTAATAGAGATGGCAGCCAAGGTTACTGTAATGTAGCATTCAAAAGTTGGGACAGTGGCAGTAGAGCGGCAGGGCAATGTTCTATAGACTAGAATGTTCCGAGTTCTAATCTGTCTGGCGATATGAAGAACCTTCAGGATTTTTCAAATTCTGTTCGCACTTGCCAGGTGTTACCTGGGTGCTTGACAAGGAAAGTGTGCTTAGTTGTTCGGATGGGCGGATGGGGTGCGAGGTCCATTGTACAAATTGACGTGGACGTAAAATAACTTTTAGTGGTAAGCGGAAGCGCCGCTGTCCGGGATAAATTATCCCTCGCGCATGAAAATTGCCGTAAGTTAGTCTGAAAATGATCGAAGTATTGTGTTGGCAAGACTGTAAACCCCATTTCATTTACATTCCATGATTCAAAAACAGTTTTGGTTTTGAGTACAGGCGTTGACCTGTGCTACAACAAATTGACATTATGGTAATAATTTTAGAATGACCAAAGTCAAATGTTACAAAAAGTTAACGGCATTCCATTTGATTCTGCTTATGAAATGCTAGTCCAACTAACTTTAGGATAACTTATCGCGTTTGTAAGGTAAGTTCCATGTCGAGCCTAATACACATTATTTCCGGCTCAGACAGTCGGGTCACGGCTTTTCTTTCCTTTATATACAAGTCAATAAGAACCATAAATAGTCATCCTATCTGTGTATAAATATGATAGGTATATAATATCAATGAACAAAAGAAGGAAATAAAGGACTTCGATTTTTAAGATGACGTCGCGTGAGAACCTTTCGTCTATGACTCACGCATACCGAATCAGTGGTTAAGCGAAAAGTGGGCGTGGAGGACGTAATCGGGTGTATGGGCTATCTATTACCACCGAGGGGTGCTCTTTTTATTTGCAAGGTACACGTTGCTTGAAGGCAACAATTTACAAATTAGTCTTGCCTATATAAATATGTCGCTCAAGCGACAGTCATCATATATAACCATATGATCTTAGGTGACCGTATTGTGGCAGAGATCTACTCTATAATTTACAGACATTATGAGATAACTTAGTTTGCTTATAAATCTACAGTCTGTAGTCTTGAGGCTAGTAATTTTACTAGAGTTTAAATGTTAGCTAGTAATTGTTAATTTAGCTATATAGATTAAATGTGACATGCTTTGTGTACGTCAAGCTCTAGACTCCGCTGTTTGAACACTGCGCAATATTAAATGGTTGTATATAATTTCAGCATTCCGTGGTCTTCTGCTTAGCAAGATATAAAATGGGGTTTAACGTCCTACATTTCTGCACCTACTTTAATTATGTGTGCTATGAGGGAAAGTTATCCTGCGGGGTTTCTGTATTCTCCATCAAATTACAACTGTCAAGGATTCTTTTACTCGGTGTTTTGTGTTATCCTAACTACGGTTTTTCTTAGCCATGCCTTCCGTCTTGCACCACTTTCAAGAAGAATCCAGAGACGTGTCTACGACACATAAAGAGGTACTAGCGACATTGCCAATTCTAGTAATCAAAGGTTTTTGAAGGAGCCACAAAACATTTTATTTTATTGTTTTTCATGTTAACTTCCTGAATTTTCCAAACTCTACCTGTGTCTTATTTTTGTTTGATGTCAGTAGTATACCTCGTTATTGTTGACGATAATTATAACAAATTAATGTTTTACTTCTGTCAGAAGCTAAAGGAAAGCCGTGTCTATAGAATGTACCAGACCTCAACCGACATGTACTGGCCTCCGTAATGAAAAGTTAATCAAAATCCCGGTTCTCCAAATTAACTGATTGAACCGATGACTTCCAATTTCTCGCAGGCAAACTATGCCTAACCCTCGCTTATTTATTCTATACCCTTACATAAATAAATAAATTATTCTTTTTTCGAACTATAACCTGCTTTTGGCGTCTCTAAAAAAAGAAATCAGAGCGCCGAGACCATGACAAGTTACCTCCCTTTAATGCGTTTTAGAGGAGAGTACTGCTGCACAGAATTTTTATTTTGGTTGAAAAAAATATAATACATAACAATTATCACAGCTTTAAATTCAAGGTTACATATACATGCATGTACAATTAAGTGTCTAACAAACTTTATGCTTCATAAAACAGTATTACATTTTGAGCTTATGGAATGTTCAAACCTGGGCTTACAATTCGAAATCTTTAAAGCCAGTCAATTTTCGACATATTTTATATAATTGGATTAGCAAGACATTTTATCAAAAGGATATGACAATTTTTAGCATTATCTCATTTTTTAAAATATCGTTTTAAGTGTATTTACATATCCTTGTATTTTAAGGCTAAATTCTCTGCATTCTAATTTTATGACATTTATATTGACTCAGTCAGTCAATACAGGCAAATGTGAATGAAAGAAGAGTCCCGGTTCAGCTCAAAACATGTCCAAATTAAGACAATTTGTTATATATTTATGTATCAATTAATTATTGAATAAAGTCTCTAAACACCATTTGTGAAATTTGAATCTTTAAAAGTAATATCAGTCCAAAAATGATTGAATTTTATACAGTATTTACAAAGATGTATAAACTGAAAATTTGTCAACATTCCACATCTTAATATCTTTGCCAAAGTGTATTGATAGGGCTCATTTTAATTTATTTGAATCCAAACCTGGAGATTATCTACCATTGATATTTTAATTTTGTTTTCTTAATTAAATGTTAAATAATCAATGTGAGTACATTAATTAATGTTAATAAAAAAAAAAGATGTACAATTAAATCAGCTTTCTCCATCATATCTGGTCTTTTTTATTACCACTCTATCACCCTCCATCCTGGTTTCAATTCCTAATTCATTTAATACTGGTGCATTATTAACCACACCTTGTAACTGTAGACCAGATATAGTAGCTTTATTTAGTTCATTACCCTCACATAGATTATGTATAGCTAAAACTACCCACTGAGTTATATCTATGTTACAGTTAAGGAATAACATGAAGAAGGTTATAAATTCTGTCTATTTTCATTTTTTTTTCTACATTTTCAGTTTTTGTAAAAATTAACATCTTCTTCCTCTTCAACAATCTATTTTCTAATTCCAAGGAGCTTTCACAAATATATTTTAGTGAATAAAAATGGTTAATTTTCTCTGAATGGCTCTTAGAAAACATTATTCCAGTCCAAAGCAACTGTCTGCCTTAAAGCGAGAATTTCATATTTTCTAAGAAACTCAAAACATAATTATCTCTATGTCTTGCTCAATAGGTTGTCTACTATTATACGATCATAGATATCATTCTCACACTTAAAAATCATTCACACCGGAAATAATAACACAATTACCGCCCTTGTTTTTCTATTCCCCCCATGGAATAGCTATCTTCAAACGTTTGAATTTGAATTGAAAATGATATTTTTGCCAATTTCTCAACTGGCAATAGTGAATTATAGGATTAAATGGATTATTCTTTAACAAGGTAGGACTGTTTATAGATACCATCTATTTTAAGGCTTTATTTTAATACATTTGAAAAATATAACTTAAAAATATGAAATTATCGCTTTAAAAATGGGTTCCCAGAAAAGTATTAATAGGGTAGTTATTTCCAATAAATGTATGGCAAATTTGGTATCAATGGAAAGTTGAGACGCCCAATCTTACTAGAAAAATACTGGATTCCCTGAAAAATACCTGACAAATACAATCTGAAAATGGTCCTTCCCTCAATCAAGCAATCTGATTAAAATACAGTTATATATTTCATTTAGGTTTTTTTTATACTTTTGATGGCTTCCACTACATGAAGATCTGACTGGTTGTAGTGGGAGGTCGCGTTATGGGTCATACGAGCAGCTTTTGACCCTATGATATCAGATATTTGATTAACCAATCATCATTGATGTTTCTAGTGGGATATCCACAGTTGTTTGCACGCCAAGAACTCAGAGTGGGAAGGCATCTTTAATTTTGAACAAATACAAACTATCTGCCTGTTTTTGAAAAAATATACCAACATTAGTTTCCATGTGTGGTTGGAAACAAGTTTCTTCATAATTGTACCTGGATAAATATGTCTATAACTTTTTGAATGCTAACAAGCAGTGGCCATGCAAGATAAGCCCACATTTTGCAAGAGATGGACAGAGAACAAGCTCAAAAAAAGAAGCGATTTTTCGTAAAATCAGGGGGCACAATCCAGGAAGTTATGGTCCGATATGCATGAATATCTACAGGAACCTAGGTCTTCGGGATATAAACATGTAAGTTTCATCAAAATCAGATAAAAATTGTGAATTCTAGAGGGTCCACAACCTTGGTATTACATACTTTTACACTATTTGCATACAAGGAGTGGCCATTTTGTCGAGCAGTTTCGATCCGATTATTAAGAAATTTCAAATTAACCATCATTATAGTTCTTAAAATCGATTAAAAATTGTGACTTCTAGAGGCCCCACAAACTAAAATCGTGATTTTTTGAACAATAAGGGGCCATAATCCAGGAAGTTACGGTCCGACATGCGCAAATATCGAAAGGAGCCAACATATTTGGATCATAAACACCCATTTTAAGTTTCATCAAAATCAGATGAAAATTGTTACCTCTAGAGTGTCCACAAGCTAAAATGTGATTTTTCGTACAATGAAGTTATGGTCAGATACATGCCAATATCAAATGGAAACAAGATCTTTGGGAGATAGACCTATATTTCAAGTTTCATCAAAATCAGATAAAAATTGTGACCTGTAGAGTGTCCACAAACAAATTGTGGACAGACGGACATGGACATGCACATGAAAATGTGGGCGTATAAAAAACAATTTTTCGATTTAACTGAAGGATACATGGATTCTTGCCATCAATATTGGTCTGGTTGAGAAGGAGTTGGATACCTTCTACTTCACGGACCTACATTAAAACGTAAGTATATTAGGCTACACAAAATAAATGTCTTGTTTCTCGGGCAACTGACAGCTGAAACTGTAGGGGGGGAGGGCGGTTTATTTTTTTTTTTATCTCATTTCTGGCTAGAGGATGGTGCAAAATAAAATTTGCCTATTGTTGAAAATTGTTGGGGCGGGAGGGCGGCCTTGTATTTTTTTTTTTTTTTTAATGAGAAAGTCATTACTTGTCTACGGTTTTGCTTTCAGTTATATATTATACATACTTAGAACATAAATCCAAAAATCAAGTCTACTCAAACACTGAACACTGACTGAAAGGAAAATAATTTTCCATATTTAATTCACGTTATGTAGCTTACTAATGGTAATGGTGACAACCATAATTGAAATTGGTTTAAAATAAAATTCCGTACGACTATTAATAGCCGTCCATAATAACGACAATATTTTAAAGTGTAAGCCTCTGTCAGCATGTGTATCAAAAATAATCATCACGGTAAACGACACTTCGATCTAAATCTAGTATCGCTGGTTTATACTGATTGACCTAATTCCAACCAATGCATGTCACGTGTCATCGGGATTCGTGAAATGACTGTTTCTCAGGATATTTGGTGTGTTTCTCAGCATATTCGGTGTTCTATCTGGGGTTTATATCGAATGACTATTTAAATTTAACTAACAACTCGTCAGTAAAACCATCAAATGTGTAATCCAATTATTATTTTCCGGATTATCAAAACTACCGGTAAACGTGCTAATGACCCAGATTCTGACTAAGGTATGGTGACTATCATCGTATCGTATTCGTAGCCACAAGTTATAATAATTAACCTGTTCTACGATTCATTGTGTTATAAGTAGGATTTTTTCAAACATGGACAGACTGAAGCCGGCAATAATGAAGATCGAATGATTGAAATACATTGCATTGTTGTCAATGACTTTCGGTGTTTAACACGAATCAAATTCTAGTTCACAAGGGGAGGTAATTAAAATCACGTGATACAAAAATGGAGGTTCTTTCGATATCAATAAAAAAGACCCGTAAATGAGCGTTTACATCTGAATCAGTTTAATACATTTGAATGAATATTCACGAATGGGGCATGTAGATACATGCGGCATATTTTTTTTATGACTTGCTTATCGATGTTCGGGCGGGCGTTACATATTTTTTATTTTTCATCAAGACTAATAAATAGGCCGCACGCGCAACCAATTTTGCGTGCGGGCGGTGCCCGAGAAACAACTTATTTTATTTGTGTTGCCTTATAATAATTATTTTCAAAGTATTAACAATAATTCTGTAAATCAACACATAAATTGTAGCCTATGTTACCCACGCTGACCATGGGAGTAAACATACACAGTGATGATCTGTTGGATGACAGAGATAACAAAAGTTAGAAAATAAAACTATTAGCAGAGGCTAGATCTATTTCTTAAGGCCAACATTAATTTTCGTCAAGGTCACCGAGATGTAAATAAGATAGGGCACATGATTGCTGGCAAGATTATAGGTTAGGGCAAGCATTTGGGATTAGTGCTAGCCATGTTTACATCCTGTGACCTTTGACCAAACTTGAAGTTGGCCTTATCAAATAGATCAAAAGAAAAAATGAAGGGAGGTAACTCTGATTTTGTAAACTGTAGTTATTTCCCTTCCACAACAAAATAACAGCTTTTTTTCTACCATCAGTTATTGTGTTCTAACTATGAGGGGCTGTTTTATATGCATCAGATTACCTTTACACCAGTTATAATCCTTATAGTCTACAATAATTCATTGCTCAAGTAAAATACCTTATCTTGGTTGTCCTTATGTTTATTGACCATGTTGGCAATCAGTCGTATTAAATCCCTTTTTAACCCATATACAGGATGATTAGAATCAACATTCTCTAGTTCGGACATTTTATCTACTGCATTAAAATGGTTTGTGCCCTTTTTACCAATTTCATCAACACTTTTCAATAAATCTGAAACATAAAAATAAATTTCATTAAACAAAACAGATGCTAATGTGTTTTTTTTCATGAAGATAATCAATGACTTTGATAACTACTATTAATGATACCACAAGTTAAAGGAATTGGTGACTTGACCTACATAAAATCTGATGTGTACAGGAAGCTGATATCTTAGAAAAGCTTTGTAATCTCTTCACACCCATCATTGTCTTCAATATGCTATGCCATAATTAGCTGTGGTATGCCATGACTAGTTATGGTACACCGAATACGGTATCAAATAAAAAATTGCAGCGTGTGAGACCAGTTTAATATTTATATGGCATAAGTTTAAATCCACTATGTTAAGAAAGGTAAAGATAGCCATATTATAGTATAATCTTACTTATAGCATTGAGTAATAGTTGTGTATCTGTCTGTAAATCAGTATAAACTTCAGGTAAAGATGATGTAGCTAATCCTAATACTTCTATCATCTTTACTAATAACCAGGATATCTACAAATATAAATACATAATTATGTATTTTACCCTGTGCATATCAACGATTATTTGTGGTTGACTGCATGATTTTTCGACTGTCTAGCAAATCATGAAGCACACACCATACCATTTTTCTGTAACAGTCATACAGCGAGTGCATGCTGTGCATGACAATTTCATGACTTTGTTATGACAATGTGTTATAGCTTCAACAATACAATGAGTTGTTTATACACAGCTAAATATAGTGGCATCCATCAAAGGCCCAAAACAAACCATCTCCACTATCAAAGGGTGCATTCAGAAATTTATAAAGTAACCCAGACAGTTTAATAGTTTGTCATAAAGTCAGATAAAATTGTAAATGATAAAACTAGCTTACATCGCCCTCTGGACAATCCTCCATACCAACAGCCAATACTTGTAAACTATGTTGATGTATCTCATTAGATAAATATTTCATGTTGGATATATGTATTGGTTGTTTTTTAGTTAGATCATTCTTCTTTAATATATCAATCATAACTTCAACAATAAATAATCTGCAAAATACATTCATAATTATCATTGCTAAATTTCACGCCAACAGTGTTCGGCCAAGATTGAATTACCACTACAGCTAAATTATGGCTCTCCATAATGTCTCGATAAAAACTCAGTTTTTTAAAGTTAACCCACCTTCATCCAAATTGTGAATCCTATAGCAATATATTGGTATTTTGCGTTAGACAATGGTCAGAATAATATGTTTCAATAACAGCAATATTGTTATTGATTTATAAAAACAAAACCAGTTCTAGTCTTTGCTCAGAGTTGAATATACTTATAGCCATCTACAACTACATTTCTCAAATACAGCATTTGAAAAGTGCTGTATTCTAAAATTAGTTTTCAATCAAAATAACATTTATCTACAGTAAGCTACATTATAATGGTATGTTTTATGGCTGATTATGACAACAGATTATATACCGACTTAAACATATTCAATGCTTCTTCAAATGACAAAATGATACATTTCATGATAATTGTTAGACACACATATCCTATATTATTAATTGATGCCCTCTTACCTTTCCCTTAAAGTGGTTTTTATACTCAGATTACCAATAAAATCTGGTATCAATAAAATATCTTCAATTAACAACAAACTGTAATAGGGAAGAAGAAATACATGTATTATACAACTACATTATTAAACAGAGATTTGGGTTTGTCCGTACCCTCAAATATGCTCACAAGCAAATTCTAAAAAAAAATCAGTTGAAAACTTTTTTCCATACTGCATTCAGAAGAATTTTGTAAATTTGAATATTAGCGGCAGGCCAAATGGCAATTTCAACAAATTCTTAAAGAATCCACTGAGAAATGTTTCCTGTATCATGTTCACAAGCCATAACAATATAATTGAATATGGGAAGATAAAATCGTAAAAAGCAAATGAAATTTATGATCCTAAAATTTTGAACAGCCTCAATTCAAAAAGTTTTAAAAATTCCATAGAGAACTTTGTCCTTTATGACATTCACAAGATATCATAAATTTAAGATGGAGTAGTCCCTGCTTAACAAAATTTTGTAGAAAAAAGTTGGAATTGAATTCATAACATTTTGGGTCTAATGACACTTTTACAAATGGTATTGACAACGTTTCGGGTCTGTCATTAGACCTGAACGGTATGAATTAAATTCCCACTTTATTCTATATATTCATATTATATTTGTACCTCTGTTTATTGGGGGCTACTCCTTCCTGAAGGTGCATCAGTTTTTGATCCTGCAGCTATATACAGATCTATTGGAATTCCAGCCTTTGCTGCCTTTCAAGGGAGAGTTGCCACCCATACATAAACAAAATACAAATCAACATCTGAAACCTCTATAAATTTGAGAATTGCCTACCCCCCATGGCTTGAGAGAGAGAGAGAAATGGGGTTTAATGTCCACTCGATACAAACTAGGTCATTTCGGGACTAACATACGGTATATTTTTTTTATGTCAATAATTCGCTTGCGCGTAGGGGTCTTTAACAGTGGGAGGAAACCGGAGGCCCCGGAGAAAACCCACGAGGTTGAACAGGCGACCCTACTCCTTGTCACGTACAACCGGGGATTCGAAACCACGCCAGTTGACTCAATGACAGGCTTTATGATACAGCATGCACGTGCTAACCATTCGGCCATCCAACCCCCTCCCATGGCTTGAAATGTTTTCAAGTCTGACAGGTAGCAAGGAAAACTACCTGTCACTTGCAACAGGTGGACTAAAATTTTACTTGATGTTCAGTAAATTGACTTAAGACCACAATACTCACATATCATGTCATGTATATTTAATTATTCCTTTACAAATGCACTATTTACACTTAGCTCAATGTCTGGTGCATGTAATCATTTAAAAATTGAAGACAATCTCTATTTATAAATAAAGTCTATGTATAATCTACTGGAAAATTTGACAAAATCAAATAAGTAGTGATAGACGGGATGCGGAAAAGGAATTACAGGGGGCGTTACCTGTCCTCCACACAAGGTAAATACAGTGCCATGCATAGGTGTGAAGTCGTATTTTGATATTCAATTTATTTTGGATATTTTAGAATCTAAATTTACCAGTACAAACTCCTCAAAGCCGAAGTCATTAGCCCTCCTATTCAATTCATGTGTATTCGGATTAGGCTAGAGAATTGCATGAATCTTCGAGTTGTTTGGTCAAAGCTGATTCACAGGCTTGCGAGAATTTTTACCGGTTTGTGTACCTATAGATAAATGTGTGACGTGATTGGTATTGGATATTTAAGAGAATTGCATGAATGTTCGAGTTGCTTGGTCAAAGCTGATTCACGGGCTTGCGAGAATTTTTACCGGTTTGTGTACCTATAGATAAATGTGTGACGTGATTGGTATTGGATATTTAAGAGTGACAGGTGAGTCACTGAAGCCTGCTTACCCCCAATCTAGATCCTCTTCTAACAGCATATTTAATATAGGTGTCACAATATTATATAGATGACTATTTAAGGTAAGATCTGTTTTATCTTCTATACCTATTAGACATGTATGTATTAACATACTACAATAATTACATAATGACACATCTCTTGTACTAATACATTTACTGAAAAGACAATACAAAATATTTTTATAATGACAACAATTCGATTTTTTAAAATTAACACACATTTTGAAAATTTGATTATGAGAAAGTTTCAAAATTGTCAAATCATCTAAAATATTTTGGTTTGAGTGCGTGCTGATACAACTAGGTAAAATTGCACCAAGACTCTGAGTTGATTTGACTTCAGGACTAATGTAAGTTATAAAAGTATTAGTAATTACACCTATTATATTCATATTAAATTCAAACAATGTATAGAAAGATAAATAAATTCAGGGGCAAATAACTTATCTCAAACCTCTTCTAAATCAATCCAATTTGCAAGTGCCTGTGATTCAAGTCGACTGGTCAAATTTAATGTTTTTGACAGTCTTTGTTAAATTTATTAAATTTTTAACAATTTCATTTTTAGAAATCAAGAATAGCTGATTTAATTTCTGATTTTCCTTCTGTAATGGCATATCTTGAACTAGTATCAAGATAAGTCCTTGCTTTCAGGTGTAAATCTAACACATACATCTAATCCCTTAAATCAAATTGGGGGCCACAGTGGCTCAGAGAGTAGGATGTTGGTTCGCTAACCTGGAGGTCCTGTGTTCAATCCCTGTGTTGGCGGAGAAAGGTCATCAGGATTTTCCAGTGTGGTTTCCCGTTGTCAGTGGTGTAGGACGGGGGGCCTGGCAAGGAACAACGTTAGTCATTTGGATGGGACGAAAAACTGAGGTCCTGTGTACACATTGGCATACGTGTATGTAAAAGAAACCTTGACAGTTGGAATTCAAAATAAGAGTAGGCCGAAATGCTGCTGTCAGGGCAAAATTTCCCTCATGGCAAACTCGTTTCCCCTCATTAGCCCAGTAGGAGCAGTACAGTAGGACATTAAACCCCATTTCATTTCTTAACCCCTTAACTGCGTAGTTTTTAAAACGTTAACTACCCCCTATTGCGTAATTAATTTGACGAAAAACGTCATTTTGGACCTTTTCATTCCTGAATACAAAATTTGGTAGTCTGAAACCAAATTAAAACTAACGGTAAATAGAGTTGTCTCACTTCAATTAGATTTCCTCGACCAGGCGTAATATAACATCTTACACATGCTGCGATCGTGTTCGAAGAATAGGTTGGGGAAAAAACCTCCAGGACGTTATATTACGTCCTACACACGGTGAGTGGCAGTTGTCCAGGACGTTATATAACGCCCTACGCAGTTTAGTGGGTGTGCTTATATCAGAGGATGTACGATACTTAAATTAGTTGTAAATTTGAATACAATGTACCTTAAAATGGGAAGAAAACCGTTGTAGACTTCGACTTGATTAGTTGGATTACCAACACAAAGATTACCCAAAAATTGTACAGCACATCTTAGAGTCATTAGAATATTGGGTAGTGTATATATTTCGCTAAGTTTGTCAAGAACTTTCCTGGTAACATTCAATTTTTCAGGAAACAAAAAAATCAAACTCTGATTTTCCTGACAACCTGCACAGGCGTTTCTCAAAATTCTGAAACATTCTGTTAAATTCTGTAGTAAAATGGAATTGTCTGGTTGTACATTAGTGTTGTCTTCAACATATGCTATCTCAACTTGACTCCATATCTGTGGTAAAACTTTGTTTAATGTGTTAAAGACATCCCGACCACTATCAAATCTGCAAAGTAAAAGACATGTTGTATTAAATAGAAATGGAATGGGGTTTAACATGTTGTCAACATTTTACCCAGGTCACACCATGTTTCTTTGGTTATATCAATAGCAGACATTGCAACATAACTGCTGAACAACAAAGAACAATAGTACCAAACACAAACCGGAAAGTGTTTTTTGCATCCGCCACCCAATCCCATTGCAACCATGTATAGAAGCATTTGGGAAATAGTCAGGAAATACCCATCCATTCCAAACCATATTTATAGATGTATTACCCGGTAGCTACACAATTACCAACTGAAAGGCATACATATGTACATCAGTAGCCAATACATTTTTGTTCATAAATATGCTAAAATAGTGTAAAGCCTTACTTGTTTCAGGATGTACAGGTGGTATATATTCCCATGCAACTTACTTCTATAGCCACTAACTCTAGCCATGTAAGTATATCCCATGATCGCATATATGGGGCATTCCATATCAAGTGAACCAGTGCTTGTCAGGTTACCCACTTAGAATATTATTATGAAAAAAGTGATTGCCATGCAAGATACACCCACATTTTGTCATCGACGCCATGCGCTGACGTCACACAAAATGATCTGCAGTGAGTTAGCCGCCCCAGATTGTGCTTGTTCACAATTTTTGTTTTTTATAAATTGATATTTAACCACTGTGTGAAGTTTTATATTATGCATTAAACCAGAGGCTGCCAGGCAGGATACGCCCACATTTTGCAAGAGATGGATAGAGACCAAGCTAAAAACAAACAGGATTTTTTGTGCAATCAGGGGCAATAATCCAGAAAGTTATGGTCTGAAATGCGCAAATATCAAAAGGGACTGAGATCTTTGGGATATAAAGATATGTTTTTTAAGTTTCATCAGAAATGGATAAAAATTGTGACCTCTAGAACCTTCATATTGCATATTTTTACACAATTTGCGTACAAAGTGCGGCCATTTTGTCGGACAGTTTCATTTCGATTTTCCCGAAATTCAAGCTAAAAATGCGATTTTTCGAACAATCAGGAGCCATAATCCAGGAAGTTTTGTTCGGATATACGCGATTTTCAAAATAAACCAAGATCTTTGTGTCTAATGGTGATATATTCACATGTTTTTTTAAATCGGATAAAAATTGTGACCTCTACATGAACGGCAAGCTAAAATCATGATTTTTTGTACATTCAAGGGCCATAATTCAGGAAGCTACGATCCGATATGCGCGAATATCGAAAGGAACCAAGATCTTTGGGTTATAAACATGTATTTCAACTCTCATCAAAATCGGATCAAAATTGTGACCGTAACAAGGGCGGCCATTTTGTCCTGGGTTTTTGCTCCGATTTTCACGAAATTCAAACTCAACCATCATTAGGGTGTAATGGTGATATACTAAGACTTTTTTCTTAAATTGGATTAAAATTTGGATCTCTAGAGAGGCCACAAGCTAAAAACGCCATTTTTCGTACAATCAGGGGCCATAATTCAGAAAGTTACAATCCGATATGCACAAATATCGAAAGGAAACAAGATATTTGGGTTGTAAACATGCATTTCAAGTTTCCTCAAAATAGGATCAAAATTGTGACCTCTAAAGCGTCCACAAGTTAAAAACGTGATTTTTCGTAAAATCTGGCGCCAAAATCTATGAAGTTTTACTGTGATTTTGTTAAAACATTATCGGTAACCAAGTCCCACAATAAATACTGAATATGAAAGTAAATTGTTTTATCCCTCATTATGCACCTGGAATGTTTGTTTTATTCTGTTGTAGTATTAAAAGGTTAGGTGGGCAAGGCAATAAATGACTAGATTCTAATTTTTACCTACTGTCTGAGTCTTGGTAAATTTTAAACGGATTTCTTCGATTATGAACAAACTACTTAACTTTGGTTATTTTTAACTTACCTGTGTGTTTGTAATGAACTCCCGTTCGATAAAATCCATTGCACAACTAATTATCACAACGATGAAAACAAGTTCTCTCTTGAAAAATTGAAATATCACAAACTTTTCCCAGAGAAAAATACCAATATGGAAGATGGTTACGTCACTCTGCGGAAGATATCATTTCGTATTAGGGGTGACAGCATGATAGGAAATTCAAGTACAATTACGACAAGAATCCATGACCACTCGGACCAAAGACCACTTGGTTCAAGACCAGTCGGACCAACTGATAGACCACTCAGCCCAAACAAATAGACTACTCGGACCATACAAAAAGACTATTCGGACCCAACAGAAAGACGACTCGGACCAATAATAAAGTGTTGTTTTAATAAATTGATAATTGCGTTTGTTTTAATATGATTACTCGAACCAATAATAAAGTGTTATTTTAATAAATTGATAATTGTGTTTATTTTAATATGACTACTCGAACCAATAATAAAGTGTTATTTGAATAAATTGCTAATTGTGTGTGTTTTAATATGACTACTCGAACTAATAATAACGTGTTGTTTGAATAAATTGATAATTGTATTCCAAATCGCAAAATATCGAGAACCACACTTGTAGTCACGTTTAAAAAGGGGCATATAAACGTCCGGTCTTCGTATTATTATGTGCTGTTTATATTAACGCATCAAGGGCGGATAACTTGAAAACGTGTCTCCACCCCCCCCCCCTCATATATAGTAACCCAGGGGTTAGTGGGGTAGAACGGAATGAAAACTCTGGGGATAACGCGAATGTGGAAAAAGTAAAATTAGGCTATCAGACAAGAACAGTATACCCGTATATGTAGATACTGTCAAAAGTCTGGACATACCGAGTCTCATTGCAAGAGTAAAGAAAAATTAGATTGATATTTTTTTTGGCACCATTATTAATTAATTTTAAAACTAATCTTTGATTTATTTTCCGTACACAAAATTGAACCAAACAACTCTAAATATAAGAATTCCGTATAAGAATTATTTGCTTCTTTGTATTGTGATTTAATAATAAATAAATAGCATATTGTCTAGCCTTATAATATAATTTAATTGGTCCGACTGGTCTTGTTTTGGTCCGACTGGTCTTAGTCCGAGTAGTCTTCGGTCCGAGTGGTCTGGATACCTACGACAATTGGCATTGAGTTTGAGCCTTCGCACACATAACTACCCGCATTCCTGTATTTAGTTACCGTCTTTTACATTCTAGCTTTACTTTTTGAAATATTTTGTTCTAATTATTTGATTAGCGACTCGGATGGGATTATTTACTTTTGAACACGCATGCCGCACAAACACAACTATACATTCGTTTTACGGGCTTTATCACACTTCGGTCAAAACTGTCGAATCGAGAATTAATGTTCCGCTTCTTACGGGGTCATACGGGCTTAGTAGCATTATATACCCTCCCGGGCACCCAATAGACACGCTGAGGGCTGCCGCAACACGCTTAAAGATGTTACTGAAGTGGTTATTATTCGATCGAAAGAATGCGTATAAAATTAAAAATACACTCAGAGAATTCGGAGGTAAGCTTCATGATCCTTGTTAAATTATTTATAACATAAAGAAGATAGGATATTTATAGTTTATACATGACTTTATTTTTACGAGTATCCGTGCAATCAGTGATATTTTAATTGTGAAGAAAATTTGATAGACTGGCGATCAATGGTTTCCATATAAATCTCCTATGTAATTGCCTTCAATTGATATTTTTCGTCGCCCAAACCCATATACGATCAAAATGATCGCGCTGTCAAACTATCTTTCAATGTTAACCAACCCCCGCAACAGGTATATTGGATTCGACCAATACGTCACGAAGACATTGTTGACATCGACTCTGTCGAAATTACAAGTAAATTTTCAAATTTTTCAAGAGAGAACTTGTTCTCATCGTTGTGATAATTAGTTGTGCAATGGATTTTATCGAACGGGAGTTCATTACAAACACACAGGTAAGTTTATAATAACCAAAGTTAAGTAGTTTGTTCATAATCGAAGAAATCCGTTTAAAATTTACGATGGTTCACACAGTAAATTTCATTTCGTCTTGCAATTGTATGGCCTACATTTCTAAATATGGACGTTGATCTATATTTATAGTGTCATGGCAGCGAAAAGGCAATTTGATATAGGAGGGGATGTATTTTTAACAGCGCGCTGTGTCACTCATACTGACTCGAGCGAGGTAAGCAAAGTCTTATGTTCTCAATAAGATACGTTCCTTTACACTATACAGGCGTTCACAGAGACTACCACAGTAGTAAAGAAAGTTGCCCAGTAAAATTGACTGGGGGCGATTTTAGTTTCGACAAGGATTCAATAGGACGGTTCCTGAACGTACAGGGCGAGAATAATGAGACCAACGTTCAGAGCAGAAGTGCACTCCAAGAATATACACGAGATTGGGCGACCCATAAATGTAGCTGAGTTTAGGCAACCTATCAATACGGTTAAGTTTGGGACAGCCAAACCAACCTTGAATGTTAGAAACATGTCAAAGATATCAACTTCCCGGAAGTTACGAAATCACTAGGCTCCTACAATAAGTCTACTTATCAATTAATCAAAATTAAATTTTATTTTTATACTTGAGTTTTTTTATTATCTATCAATACTATCATGTCTCCTAGTCCTAGGCATAAATCAAATATTTGGTACCTAAATTGATCTTTCTTTAATTCGTTTGTCAGCAGCAAGAGGTCATTGTTAACTTCATACCAACTGCTTGCTCGTGTTTGAACACCGATTCTTTCGTAGATATCATTTAACGCCATGCCATAGATTTATACTCGCAAACACCTATTTATAACTCTATGGAGTGATTGACTCTATGCGCCATGCTCACCAAATTGTAAACATCCGGTGTAATAACATACCCGTGCTTGTGATTTCTTAACAATTTCATTGGATCATATTTCAACATTAATTTTGATTGGTGCAATTTAGACCTTGACCATCATAATACAAGCATGGCTTCTATCACTTCGTTGAAGGTGGTTTTCAGAGAATTATTTTGCTTATCATATGTTATTGAAATGAAAGATACGCTTTTTTTTTTGAAAAAAAAAGAAATCTGTAGCCTATATAGATATACTCCTCTTCAGCCATTTTCGACAATAACCTATCCCTGTCAAGCAAGAGATAATAATAAGGGTTGATAAATTTTATAAAGCACCAAGATTAAGAGAAATATTGATTTTCGGACAGTCGTACTAAGGGGTATTCGGTATAATGGACTGTATAACCTATCTAACTTGCGGACTATCATAATAACGGTTTTTCAAACCATCATTGAAAAAATGAATGGACAGAATTCAACGCCAACTTCAATTGAAAAAAATTGATATTATTTAATTGGATTGTTGGCTAGGAAGCTCAGCATGTAGAAAGCCATCTTAGTGATATTCGAGTCTACTGTCTTAACTAGTGGTTCTCAACCTTTTTTTGCAAACGGCACACCTTGGAACACAACAAATAACGGCACACCTGGCTAAATATATATGTGAAAAATATTTGAATTTTGCAAAATAAAATCATGTCAAGTCATAGACGCAGGCCGCAAGCGACAGGTAGCTTTTTTTCATATATGTCGCTTCAGTAAATAACTTGTCACTCTCAGCGACTTGAAGATTCATACAATTCTATCATCCGTATCCACACGAATTCCGCCAAGTATCATGGTACCAAACTTGCGTACTAAATCGAATACTTCGCCGTTAAGGTGTAGAATTCAGATTTTAAAATATCCGTAATGCATTGATTATAAAAACACGAATCACACCTGGGCATGGTACCGTATTTACATGTACCGCGTGCGGAGGACAAGTAACGCCCCCTGGAATTCATTTCTCACATATCATGTCTATATTTACGCAACAAATTATATTTATATATGAAATATTGTTCCAATCTAATTATTTGATTTTGTAAATTTTCTTATAAATTATTCATAGCCTTTATTTATGGAAATTGTTTTAAACTTTTTAAATGATTAAATACACCAGGCATCGAGCCGTGTGCATTTCCATTCCAGCTACCACTATATTTACTGTGGTGTCGTTACGATAGAACTATTTTAGATGACCTGGGGATGCATTTTAATTTTTAGATATAATACTTCATAATGCTATAAACTAGTGTCAAGCAGATGAAAACAAGCGTAGATGGTATGAAATTCATTGTTATAAAATTGTCTACTTCCAAACTGTGTGAATAACTGTTGCCTATGACAGAGCGAAATGTAAACAGTGCAAATGGCAGCTTTTCGCGGTATTTCGGTGCTTAATTCTTGCATTTAGAAATGAATAATCAAATGTACGTGAGTATTGTGGTCTTAAGTCAATTTACTGAACATCAAGTAAAATTTAGGCCACCTGTTGCAGGCAACAGGCAGTTTTATTTGCTACCTGTCAGACGAAAAAATCACCTGTTGACGACAAGTAGACAGGCGAACATTTCGAGCCATGTAGACGGCATACACCTGTAGACACAGACTAGCCATAGACACATAGAATGACTTAAACTAAATAAAGACAAACTACAAACACAGCTATGAACTTACTTTAAATTGTAGTGTTTTGAATGTCATCAGTCAAATAGCTGGCTTCTTTAGTGGTTGAGAATCACTGGTCGTCTGAACCATCTTAAATTTTAATCTATTTCTTCGATTATGAACAAACTACTTAACTTTGGTTATTATAAACTTACCTGTGTGTTTGAAATCCCCTCCCGTTAAATAAAATTCATTGCACAATTTAATATCCCAACGAATAAAAAAGTTCTCTCTTGAAAAATTGAATACAAACTTCTAACATAGAAAAATACTAAAATGGAAGCTGATTACATTGTAGTAAAATCTCAGCAAAGTTTATAACTTTACCTTTTGAAATATTTTGTTTTAAATCATAATTTTGATTAGAGAGTCGTGTGGATGAATTTTCTTTTGAACACAAATGAGGCACAAAAACAATGACATTCATTTTACAGGCCTTAAATTTTACCCATGAATATCTTTAATATGATATATAATATGATAGATTCAACGTACAGGGAATTTACAATTATGGGGTTATGGTGTGATTTAAGTATTATTTACAATAAATTTTAAGATAGTTGAATATATTTACATTGTGAACAATCAAGTATTACACCTTATTCTATAACTACATGCAAATACAAGCAAATATCATTGAATACGGCCATTGAATAACCTATGGTTGTATTCAATGGCTTGGACACATACTACTTTTGTCCAGAATGACGTCACTTTCAGAATTACGTCAAACTGTAATGACGTCACCACTAGCAACCACAATTTTTGTAAAAAAGAAAGAAAAAAGAGCGGAACCTATGATGAAATTTAACATTATTGGTGATTTTTTTTTGATAATCTGGATAGTACTGTGTATTTTTGAAAGCCCACGTTTTCATGTGGACGTATTATGCTGTCGCCCCTGTCCGGACGTCCACAATTTGTTTGTGGACACTCTAGAGGTCACAATTCTTATTCGATTTTGATGAAACTTGAAATATAGGTTTATCTCTAAAAGATCTCGGCTGCTTTCGATATTGGCATGTATCGGATCGAAACTTCATGGATTATGGCCCCTATTTGTACGAAAAATCACGTTTTTAGCTTGTGGACCCTATAGAGGTCACAATTTTTATCCGATTTTGTTGAAACTTGAAATGTAAGTTTATAACCCAAAGATCTCGGTTCCTTTCGACATTCACGCATATCGGACCATAACTTCCTGAATTATGGCCCCTGATTGTACGAAAAATCGCGTTTTTAGCTTGTGGACCCTATAGAAGTCATAATTTTTATCCGATTTAAAAAACGATTATTATATCACCGTTACACCCTAAGGACGACTGAGTCGAATTTCGTGAAAATCAGCCCAAAATTGAAAGACAAAATGGCCGCCGTTCGTTCTCAAATAGCGTAAAAATATGGTATATCAAGGTTGTGGACCCTATAGAGGTCACAATTTTTATCCGATTTTGTTGAAACTTGAAATATAAGTTTATAACCCAAAGATCTCGGTTCCTTTCGATATTCGCGCATATCGTACCGTAACTTCCTGAATTATGGCCACTGATTGTACGAAAAATCGCGTTTTTAGCTTGTGGACTCTATAGAGGTCATAATTTTTATCCGATTTAAAAAAACGTATTATTATATCACTGTTACACCCTAAGGACGGCTGAGTTCGAATTTCGTGACAAAATGGCCGCCCTTCGTTCTCAAATAGTGTAAAAATATGGTATATCAAGGATGTGGACCCTATAGAGATCACAATTTTTATCCGATTTTGTTGAAACTCGAAATGTAAGTTTATAACCCAAAGATCTTGGTTCCTTTCGATATTCGCGCATATATCGGACCGTAACTTCCTGAATTATGGCCCCTGATTGTACGAAAAATCTCGTTTTTAGCTTGTGGACCCTATAGAGGTCATAATTTTTATCCGATTTAAAAAAACATAGTTTTATATCACCGTTACACCCTAAGGACGGCTGAGTTTGAATTTTGTGAAAATCAGCCCAAAATTAACAGACAAAATGGCCGCCGTTCATTCTCAAATAGCGTAAAAATATGGTATATCAAGGTTGTGGACCCTATAGAGGTCACAATTTTTATCTGATTTTGTTGAAACTTGAAATGTAAGTTTATAACCCAAAGATCTTGGTTCCTTTCGATATTCACGCATATCGGACCGTAACTTCCTGAATTATGGCCTCTGATTGTACGAAAAATCACGTTTTTAGCTTGTAGACCCTATAGAGGTCATAATTTTTATCCAATTTAAAAAACTGTATTATTATATCACTGTTACACGCTTAGGACAACTGAATTCGAATTTCGTGAAAATCAACCCAAAATTGACAGACAAAATAGCCGCCGTTCGTTCTCAAATAGCGTAAAAATACGGTATATCAAGGTTGTGGACCCTATAGACGTCACAATTTTTATCCGATTTTGTTGAAACTTATAATGTAAGTTTATAACACAAAGATCTCAGTTCCTTTCGATATTCGCGCATATTGAATTGTAATTTCCTGAATTATGGCCCTTGATAGTAGGAAAAATCACTTTCTTGTTAGCTTGTTCTCTATACATCTCTCGAAAATGTGGGCATATCCTGCCTGGCAGCCGCTGGTGAGATTTACATGTGGAATACTTGCACAGGGATACTCTCGCTTGAACCATTGAATAACCCGAGCGGTATTCAATAGTCATTGAGTTCTATCTATATTCACAGTACGGTCAAATCTAGAAGTGATGGTGCACTTTTTACAAGGTCTTACAGGTTATTTAGCATTATAAACCCACCCAAAAGGCACTTTCAGGCCTGCCGCAACGCGCTTATAGATGTCATTGAAACGGTTATTATCGGATTGAAAGAATGATATCAAATTGACGATACACTCAAAAACATGTAATTGTCTTAATTTTCGTTGCCCAAACTCAAATGATCAAAATGATGGCACTTTGTTATGATTGCAACGCATGGTTGTCAAAATATCTGTCAAATTTAAACCACCTCCGCAACAGCTTCACTGGTTTTGTCCAACACGTGACGAAACCTATGTTGTCTTGAACTCAGTCAAAAGTACAAGTAAATACGTCAAATTATCAAGAGAGAACCTTTTTATTCTTTTGAATATTTAATTGTAGAATGGATTTTATTTAATGGGAGGTGATTTCAAACACACAGGTAAGTTTATAATAACCAAAGTTAAGTAGTTTGTTCATAATCAAAGAAATCTGTTTAAAATTTATGTTGGTTCAGACAGTAAATGGTAATTAAACCATGGCAACATAGGGGGGCGGGGGAAGGGGGGAAATCTTGATGAAATAAGTAAAAAGTCTAAAAAATAAAAGTCATTGATTGAAATCGTCTGAAAATTGGGGTTCGACCATCACTAGTTACACTCTGAAAGTATTAGGTGTATGAAAGTGCAATAGTGTCTTACTCCTGTGCTTCCACAGTAAGGTACTTCAAGGATTGTAGTTGTCCTAATACATGTATGGAAGCATATTCCTGAAGCAATGGCACAATAATTTCCCTCTCTAGCCATAGCTGTATTGAGACTGAAAACTTGAGTCTTTGACGGAGCGTGTCCATTCACATCATCCAATCAAATTTCTCTTAAGTAAATATATGGAATTTTTATGACTTAACCAATGATGACCTCTTTAAAAAAAAAATCTTAGTGTTTGTTAGTGCTGATTTGAAGAAAAAAATTTACACTTGGATGCATCGGGAACAAACATCGATTCTCGCATAGGTGAATTTGGACATCGCTGAAACTCGCTATTGGGACGAAAATTCTTTGACTCAAATCTCCAATATAAATTTCTATAAACGTGTACCAATTATTACTGCCTACCTTTAAATATTTGATAATATTTTTCCATTTTTGTGAAGAAAATCAAAGCACATGTCGTATTTCTATACAGTTTGTTGAAACATAATAGGTAACATGACAGCCCTTCTCTTTGATCTGCTGTGTGATTCAAGAGATGATAAAGAGATTCCACATGCGCAGCGATTACCCAATGTTCTCTTGGTTGAAAGTTATCTGTAATTGACATAGACTGTAATAAGCTGCAATATTAAATTGATTATTGTATTGTTTAATGTTATCGTAGGGTTTGGTTGGTTTAGTGACAGGTGGAGCATCAGGTCTAGGTAGAGCAACAGCTGAACGATTGGTAAGACAAGGTGGAAAGGTTGTTCTCTGTGATCTACCTACATCAAGTGGTGAAGCAGTAGCCAAGGAACTTGGTCCTGATTGTGTTTTTGCACCTACAGATGTAAGTTGTGCGACTATACAGTACATAAGCTTATGAAATAAAAATCTCCATTTTTATACACTCACATTTTGATGTTGGCCTATATTGTCGTCGCCTTTGTCTGTACGTCCATCCACAATTTGTTTGTGGACACTCTACCGGTCACAATTTTTATCCAATTTTGACAAAACTTGAAATATGGGTTTGTATTCCAAAGATCTTGGTTGCTCTCAATATTGGCATGTATCAGACCGTAACTTCATGGATTATGGCCCCTGATTGCGCATGTCGGATCATAACTTCCCAGATTATGGCTCCTGATTAAACAGAAAAATCGCGATTTTAGCTTGTGGACCATCTATAGTCAACTATTTATCCGATTTTAAAAATCGTTTAAATATTTCATCGTTACACCTTAATAATTTCGTAATAATCAAACCAAAACTTCTCCCTAATGTCCACTGCTGGATCGCAAATTGTGTAAAAGTATGTAATATGAAGATTGTGGACCCTCTAGAGGTCACATTTTTTGTCCAATTTTGATCAAACTTAAAATATATGTTTATATCACAAAGATCTCAGATTTTCACTTCAATCGTATGAATGTACAGGTGTGGGGACATCTACTATTATATGGGGCTATAGATTTTCACTTTTTTTTTCTTTTCTTTTTTTTAAGCCTTAGTCATCTTAATCTTTTTTGTATTTTGTTTCTAATTTCTTTAATGTTTCAAAGTTTCAATCAGTCTAATATGGAAGGAAAACTAGCTATATTCAAGGTACATGCATGAATGGCGGTTATCCACATTATTAATGAGAATTCAGAGATTTGAATACAATATGATGACAGTGCCAGTCTAGTCTTAAATATAGGTTGAGCTTGTGCTGTCAGCTGTCCTCCTGATACCTAGTTCACGTTTTGAATGTCACTTTAGGCACATATGTAGAAATCACGTTTTTTTTTTCGCAACGGTTGCTAAATCTCCAGTCATTGGAAACGTTAGTATTTCCGGTATAATTGATTATGATTTTTGATTATTTTTTATATTCAAACAAATAGAAACCGGTAACAATGTGCTGCAGTTTTTAGTTATATCTTAGGACAAAGTTGGAAAAGGGCATACTTCATAAATTAGTGGGTTTTCTTTGGTTCACTGCCTAAGACCCTTATGTACAAGCCTATTAAGTCAATGAAATTATAGTGACAGATGCCTCATGAGAGAGGCTATGCTTATTCTTTCCAGAACACCCCATACCATTTCTTATTTCAGAAGTTCACTGTTTTCTAGACCACTGTTAGTTAGAATCTGTATTCAGCAGCCACTCAAGGGAAATGACATGACTTACCTCTTAATAAGAGTGCCCTCTTAATACAATCTCAGCATTTTTTGTCCCCCGCCTTTCGAAGAAAGCAGGGGACTATTAAAATGGGTTCGTCCGTCTGTCTGTCTGTCTGTCCGTCACACTTTTTGGGACACAATAACTCTCTTCCTAATTGAGCTAGAATGTTCAAACTTGGTGTATGTGTTTATTAGGTCAATGCCTTGATGGAGTTCGAAGATGAGCATTTTCCGCTTAGGGTAAGCAGAGATAAGCAATTTGATTGGTTGATGCTTTGGGACACGATAACTCTCTTCTTAATTGGGCTAGAATGTTCAAACTTGGTGTATGTGTTGATTAGGTCAATGCCTTGATGGAGTTCGAAGATGAGCATTTTCCGCTTAGGGTAAGCAGAGATAAGCAATTTGATTGGTTGATGCTTTGGGACACGATAACTTTTAATTGAGCTAGAATGTTCAAACTTGGTGTATGTGTTTATTAGGTCAATGCCTTGATGGAGTTCGAAGATGAGCATTTTCCGCTTAGGGTAAGCAGAGATAAGCAATTTGATTGGTTGATACTTTGGGGCACGATAACTCTCTTCCTAATTGAGCTATAATGTTCAAACTTGGTGTATGTGTTGATTAGGTCAATGCCTTGATGGAGTTCGAAGATGAGCATTTTCCGCTTAGGGTAAGCAGAGATAAGCAATTTGATTGGTTGATGCTTTGGGACACGATAACTTTAGTTCTAATTAAGTGAGATTGATGAAACTTGGTGTATAGTTTCATTACAGTAATACCTTGACTAAGTTTGATAATGAGCATTTTCTGCTCAGGGTAAGCAGAGCGATACGCAATTTGATTTTTATATGTGTCCTCTAATTATTTTCCTATTTCGGCGGGGGACATCAGCCTCACTGTTGGCTTGTTAGTGCTTATATCCAGTGAAATTTTACGCATCAGAAGCGAACATCAATACTCATTCATTAGAGAGAATAAACCAAAGAATTTCTATGTGGCTGCTAGGTCAGATTCTAATGTACTTTGAACATGATCTCCTTTCCTTCTCATTCATATTCGTATTGTTTAACCCATAGGTAACATCAGAAAAAGATGTGCAGAATGCACTATCTCTTGCAAAAGATAAATTTGGAAGACTAGATACAGCTGTAAATTGTGCTGGTATTGGTGTTGCATTTAAAGTTTACAATTTTAATAAAAAACTACCCCATGCTTTAGATAGTTTCCAAAACGTTCTAACAGTAAGTATGTTTACATATTTATGTGGAAACACAAATAAGTGTTGGTAAGCATTTTAATACGCTAACATCACAGGCCCAAAATGTAATTTTCTCAATCTTGTTTGTAGATGTGGAGTGACCATCAAAATAAAAAAAATGAGAATTACATAATAGCTTTACTGTAATTAGATCGATGAAACATAAGCACTGGAAAGTTGGAAAAACAGTATCTTTAATTAGACAAAAAAGATTCTATGCAATAAAATGTAAAAGATAAATTATCTGTAGCCCAAGATTAAAATTTTGTTCAGGGCTATAGAAAATTATTATTATTATCATAATTGTCAGGGCTGTTATTTATTTCTTAGTTCATGAATATTTGAATTCTAAAATAATATTGAAGGCAGTTAAGTTGTTATGACCAGTTACCATACAGTGGTTCTGATTTGGCATTTTATTAGGATCTACATTCCGCAAAAACCTGAGTATTTTGATATATACGTATTGTATGAGTTTGATAGAATGATGATTTTTATAGGTAAATACTGTAGGAACATTTAATGTGATACGTTTAGCTGTTGGATTGATTGGAGAGAATAAACCAAATGAAGATGGACAGAGAGGTGTGGTTATTAATACAGCTAGTGTAGCTGCTTATGACGGACAGATGGGTCAAGTTGCATATTCAGCTAGTAAAGGGGCCATTGTTGGTATGACCTTACCATTAGCTCGAGATTTAGCTTCACAAGGAATTAGAGTTGTTACAGTTGCTCCAGGTAAGATTATTATTATAAACCATATCCATCTGGAAATATACTGTTGTCTCCTACACCCATCAATAAGTCCACAATTTCTTAATGAATCATATTAGAAAGACCTTTGTCAAAATTATGAATTTGCAAATTGTGGAGTTATTTCCCCTTTAACACTTTTGACTTGAAAATTTTGTACATATGCTACAGTATCAGGGAATATGATAAGGAAAAGAATTGAAGAGTAGTCCCGGTAATTCTGATACAAAAGGTTGTACTGAAGTTTCTTATGTACTCTACTTTCATATTTAATACAGACTCTGCATTCTATTCTGCTTCAAGATCATAATCAAGCCACGATCATTGGCATCAAACATTTCCATTCCTTTACCGTCAAAATTTAGCAGACAGCGCCATCTTTGATTAACGGCGTGAATCCAGAGTGTTACGATCATCCAGTAAGAAATCATCCCTACTTATGTCATACAAAAAAAAAGATGACATGGTCAATCACGACTATCTATAATAATAGAAAAGTTGTGCCCCTTTCATAAACGTTCAACTGGATGCTGTGAAACGGTAATTCCTTCTTTGTCAACCATTGTTTTCACGCTTGATTTTTAATAAGAAACTTGATTTGCAAATTCCCTTAAATTTGATAACTTTCTGCTATCAAATAAATATTTGAATCGCACTTATGTTCTCATGTCTTTGTTTAGGAAACTGAGATGCAATACAATACCGCTTATCATATTCCCGGTACAGCATACTTGTCTATTGGTCTTTCAATCCCTATCTAATTTCAGAATTTACGTCACATTAAGACATTCTTCCATTTTTTTCAGGATTATTCAAAACACCTCTATTAGCTAGCTTACCAGAAAAAATTATCAAACATCTTTCTCTCAGCATACCATTTCCTTCTCGACTTGGCCATCCTGACGAGTATGCCCATATGGTACAATCTATTATAGAAAACCCATTATTAAATGGTGAAGTTATACGTCTTGATGGTGCTATTAGGATGGTTTGATGAGTGACAATAAAACAATAATTGTGGCAATCAGTTTGTAGAATTTGAACAAGCTTTGGTAACATTCAGTCTAGAGACGTGATTCGTGATTCGTATGGTCATATCCTTATTTTAAAATTGTGGATCAAAGAACTTGTGTATGTCTTATTCTACGTTTATTTTGCACGAAAGAAAAGAAACAATAATGAATACCTACTATAATTATTGTAGTGTGGATAATAATTTGTTTACACTCAAATATACAATACAACAAGATATTAATATATGCAACTGAAGTTGGAAACAAAATAAATTCTAGTTGATTTAGGATTATTCTTAATGATGTCAGGTGTCAATAAACAGAGTTGTATGTAACATATATGCTTTAGAGAAATATTATTAGAGAAAAAATAGTTTGTAAAAAATAAATGAATTTATATATTTTTTTTTCTACATTTGTTATTACTAGTCCATCAGTAAATGTTAACGATAGTATCGCAGATTAAATATTACCAATATTACTGGTAGTTTCAAGTAGTACAAATTGGGTTAAAGCAAGATGTAGGTGAAGTAATGACTTTAATAGGTAAATGGATTTATAATGAAGACAATGTGCTGCTCTGACTTTTGTATTTTCTCACTTTTCTCATCTAGTGGCAATCACTTGGTTTCAATTTATCTGGTACTAATTGTGTTTTTGTGGTACTGTCATACATATTTTATTATATAATGTTGTAAAATTTTGTCGACTCATTCCCATTGAACATTTGTTGTCTCTCCCCATAGAATTCAAGTTCCTGTGACAACCATAATTAATATTGCTTTATAAAGTATGATACTATGTAACGGTAAATCTTGAATCACAGTTTAGTTGACGGAATTCCAATGGTAGCTCAGTGGCGTGCCTATACATACAGGTTATACTGAAAGATTGTGACATATATGCATGTCACATGTCATCAGTAACCTTCGCATTAAGAGGGGAGTTGGATGGCTGAATGGTTAGCATGCGCGCACTGTATCATAAAGTCTGTCATTGAGTCGACTGGGGTGGTTTCGAATCCCCTGTTGTATGTGACAAGGAGTAGGGTCGCCTGTCCAACCTCGTGGGTTTTCTCCAGGTCCTCTGGTTTCCTCCCATTGCTAAAGACCCCTATGCGCAAGCGAATTATTGAAATAAAATTAAACCATATGTTAGTCCCGAAATGACCTAGTTTGTGTCGAGTGGACGTTAAACCCCATCTCTCTCTCTCTCTCTCATTAAGAAGCTTGAGCATGCCAGAAAAAACATGACAGTTTATCAGGACATTTGTTCTGTTCGAGGTATTTACAGGGACCATCACATTCGACAAATAAATGTTCAATGAAAACATCAAATATAACATTCTAAATATTTGTTTAAAAATCTACCTGGGATTCATAGATTCACAATCCATACTGAGATGTTGTCATGCAGTTATTTCGTCCTGAATGAATTCTAACACTATCACTGATAATATTTTTATAAGCGGAATACCATATATGTATAGAAAAGCATTTTGTATGGAAGTTTACTTAAGTACATGAACATTGGGTATATCTCCATGAATGAAAAATATAAAGAGGATGCTCGATTGTCAGTCCGGAACGTTCCGAATTGCGGAATTGCAATCGAGTGACGTGGAATTCAGTCCTGTCACAGTTCTGTCAGTCCCGACAAAGGAGGTGGTGAGAGTAGAATCGTGACGTAATTAAACCTAATGAACATGTTTCAGCTGTCATGATTGGTTGAGATATTTTCTCATGCAGTCAATGCATGCAGTCTAGCCCAAATTCCCATTTTCACTCGATTGTCACTATTTTTGGGTTTGACAGAATTCAATTGCGGAACGTTCAATCGAGCAACCCCTATATGTCTTTCATTAGAGTTGCCCCCCTTCAATAGGCAAGGCTGCTTTCCAAAATCCAAAATGTTTGGCCATAAAAATAATCTGTACTGTGAGCATTTTATCTATGAGATTCATTATTTTTCTCATAAAATGGTTTATTTATTCCTAGTAATAAATGAACAATTATATCCCATGGGACAGACAGCAATAAAAACAGTAATTACCTGTACTAATTGTAATAGACCTAGGAAGGCTATAAAATAGTCTACCAATTTATCCTTTATGGAAAACCCTTGTGGGCAAAAGGGAATACAATTAGGAAAAATGTCATCAGTGTTTGTGGATATTGGTAAATTTATTGATTGTATTGATAGAAATTTGGGGGAAATAAACTATATTGTCTGTCTAATTGTACATATGTTCTGTCTGTGGTGTGGAATAGTTGTCTATCGGTTTCCCATTGTAGGCCTACTTGAAAACAATGACTATAATTTTGCTGAGTATAATTGATTATGGAAAAAAGTGAACATATGATTATTGTAAAACATAGTTAGGTTGTTATCACCTTTGTCCAGCCTTCCGGCCATTCACAATTTTTATCCGATTTTGATGAAACTTATGTTAAATATGTTGATATCCCAAAGATCTTGGTTCCTTTCGATATTGACGCATGTCCGACCATGACATCCTGGATTATGGCCCCTGATTGTATGAAAAATCACTTTTTTAGCTTATTCTCTGTCCATCTCTTGCAAAATGTGGGTAACTGCTTGTTATTTAATTTTGTAATACTCTGCAATTTAACAGCCAACATCAGCTGAGATATGGACTAGACTTTCACTTAAGTAAGTTTATGAATAGATCAGTAGGCAATGTCTTGGCATAAGTGGAAAAACATTTTTCATTGTCTGTTTACAAAAATAGAACAAAATCCACCGGTAAAAGATGTTAAGTAAAATAAAGTGCAGAAAATATAAAAACTATCGGAATATAAAATTGCTAATTAAGTGCAGAAAATATAAAAACTATCGGAAAATAGAATTGCTAATTCACCCCAATAAATAAGAACTTAATATATATTGGCTTTGTAACTCTTGTTCCTTTACATGAGAATCCTTTATATCCCTATCAGTAAATAGACATGTTGTACATTTGTCCTGTTCACTATTAGCCTAATATTTTATTGTTTAACTAGAAATAGGATCCTGGATGTCAAATTAATTTTGATTGATTATTTGTTTATACCTTCTTATCAGTCAGATTAAACAGTCTGTGGGGTATATTTTTGTCCAACAGGGAAGAAGTTAACAAATATTTATAGCTTTCTTACATCATTTTGAACTTATCTGACTGTTATTGATAGGAGGGTTTGGCAAGATGTTCATAACAATTTTTCCATGGAAATGTGTCATAGGGTACATATATTTGATAAAAATTCTTACTTAAATCTTCATTCAAATTAAAAGGATAAAGCACAGGATTGAGGTCATGCTGGGGAAAGAAGGTCTCAAGAAAATAACCCAAGAAAAAGAAAAACTGGGGCCTCTGGCCTCGGTTTTTCTTTCAAGGGTTTTTATCCAAAGTCTTTTTTCCCCAGCATAACCAAAGTCGAGGACTTTATCTTGCTTTTAAACCGTTTATGTTTACATGTATATAAAAATTAATGAGAATAACCAAGAATTCCAAAAAGAAAAACCTTATATCACGTTTTGTTATGGGGGAAAAAAACCTACCCTGGAAGAATAACCCATTACAGGTTTAAAGAAAAATTTTCAAAAGAATTCCCCTGTATATATTCCAAACCGCCTCCCACTTTCAGACCGCAAGTTATTCCGGGCATAGAATATACCGCAAGGATCAAAGAGATTTAGCATTATAGATGGTAGATGATAAAATCCCATTTTGAAGAGTGTTACCTGATTAAGAGAATGCCAGCGTTTGTTTACAACACAAAGATCTTGGTTCCTAGTTTATGGCCCCTGATTGTTTCTGTCATTTTCAGTGCAAACCCTATTTTCCAAAATTTTTGGGGGGGCAGAGCACCCTAGACTTTAGATAACAAACCTCATCCCTCAACCTTCCGTGTTTCGAGATAAGAGATGGTGCTATATAGTTCCACGTAGCAAAGCCCAACGCAAATCACATCGGGCCTCAGTAAGCAAAATTGACAATATTTTTCATCAAAACGACGATTGATTATTGTTATTTATAATATTTCTGCCACATTCAACACCTGAAACGGATATAAATCATTGTATTTAAAATCGAGGCGTTAAGCTATTTCTAGGACTGCCATTTTTAAATTGGAGATGTATGATGGTGTATGTCGGATAAAAATAACGCTTCGTTAATTTAAACGCGAATATTTGGAGTTAGGCGATAGTTGTGCCACTACATAGTTTAATTAGTCATAATAGTATAAAATTATCTTATTTTTAAGATGTTACATGCATTAATAAGGAAAGTGAGTTTGCCACTTGGAACTAAAGGCACCCAATCTCAGCTAAAAACAAGAACATCAGTATATCTCAACGTTTTTAGCTACGTTCTTATAGCTACCTAGGCCCTACTCCGAAGGAGGGCGTATCCACGATACTGTGGACCGTCAAGTGTAGGTAGATCGGTGCCCCCAGAAGCCCCATCGGCGCCCCCAGAAGCCTTTACCCCCCCCCCCCCCCCACAACAATTTTTGGCAAGCTATGGGCCTGTCCTGGATTATGGCCCCTGATTGTACGAAAAATAGCTTCTTTTTTTTTTTAGCTTGATCTCTATCCATCTCTTGCAAAATGTGGGCGTATCTTGCCGGGCAACCGCTAGTAATCTGATTTGATGAAACTTAAAATGTTTATGTCTCGGATCCTTTCGATACTTAATTGCGTGTATCGGACCCTAACTTCCTGGATTATGGCCTCTGATTGTTCGAATATCTTGAAAATTTCAGTTAAATTACTTGATTCTAAGTGATGTTTGAACTGTTTGGAGAATAGTGGAGTCTCGATTTTTATTTACGATAGTAAACAAAGTCTCAATTATCCATTTTTTAGTTAGATCATTAACCGCCAATTATGTTTAAATCCGTTGAAAATGTCGAGCAATCGATGGCATCAAGGGTTGATTATGGTCTTGGCAAGTTAATAAATGTCTAATTTATATAACATATAAATGTCTAATTTATATAACATTTAAGGCCTAAAGGAAGACCTGCAATATGTAGATTTAGCTCTTGCATAATGCATTTTTTAAAAGAATCTGGCGCACAGATGAAGTCATTCGAGTCTATGATAATCTGTGTAACCTTTCACATAGGACATCCAATGCACCAATAAGACCTCACACATGTCGTATGTTGAGTTCATGTCAGTATATCTATTTATTTATGACATGACTGTCAAAACAATACGTGGCACATGGAAAAAAATCTTTCATTGATGTTAAACCTTTGGTTCAGATTGAAAAAAAATAGTGATGGCTTTCAGTACTAAAGATAAACTCACCAGATTTTATTTATAGAATTTTTTTTTAATTCATATATATTCATCTTTTTTAAATTAAGCCACATTTTATGTGGTTTTATGGGTATATTGTTGTCACTTGCATCTGTAAGTCTGATCACACTTTATTGTTAACACAATTATGATGGGATCTATTTTGAAATTTCAGTGGGTTGTTCAGGTCAATTTTTAAAGGAATTCCAACAATTACCCTTGATTATGAAAATTACACATTCATTTTTATCAATATCCAACGATAACTCATTTTAATAAAGACTCTAAAGATATTTTTTCTGCCTCAGTAAGGAATTGAGATTTTAAAGCCTTTTACGATATTGAATTTGTAGCCAAATTTACTTTACAACAGACCCTAAGCTGTTGGTGAGATTATTTTCTGTTGCCTGGCAACTAAATATAATGTAATGTATAGAAAAAATATGTACTCAAAACAGTATTTTTTAGTTTTAATTTAGATAACTTAACACCTAGGGAATACTTCCACAAAAAAAATAAACCAATTTGGTGTTTAGTTTATCTTTTTTTATAAATATGATGAAAATATTGAAATATGTATATTTAGATAAACATTTCAATATTATAACAAAGACATATACACAGGGGAATGCCTTTATTATTAAACATATTGTATTTAATTAACCTAATTTCATTTTTTTAAAAAAACATTTTTGAAATATGACTGAAATAGTGAAATGTGTATATTTAGAAAAAGGTATTATTAAAAGAACACAAAGAACAGCTCAGGCTTAAACATAAATTCATTTCATTTGTCTTCAATTAAAAGTTTATTGCAGCAGGATTTTTTTTTTCTTTGTTACAATCATGAACTAATGAAAGATGTTTAGTTAGACACAGTTATTGTAACAAAGAAGAATACATCTATTGTATTATTAGATTGGTTAACTGCATTAAAGTGTCAAATTTGCTGTAGATCATAAAATAAAATTGTTTAATATGAATATATATGAGGTCAATGACTTTTCTCTGCAGGGTGTATATAATAGTTTATCCCTATTATGTATGTTACAAGAAACAAAAAATTTATATTTTATTTACTGGAGTTACAATGAAAAGTGCTGAACTAAAGTTTGTTGTATATTTTGGCAATATTTTGAAATAACAAAATTATATCCAAATATTTTTATATGACTCTAAATCATAATATGACCCCATTACTTGAATAATATTATTCATGTATAAAACTGACCATTATCTGGTCAACAATATAAATATGTTTTGAAAAGAAATAATTTTATAGTACATAATATAACTGCTTTCCATCAGTGCAAACATGTAGGTTTACATGTATTTCAATGTCAGATTTTAGAAATTAAGAGTTCCCATACCATAAAGTTTTCTTATTATCTAAAAGTGTTAAAGATACATTATTCAAGAGCTAAATTTGCCTACTGCAGGTCTTTCTTTAGGTCTTGGGGGGGGGGGGGGGGATGGCTGAATGGTTAGCGTGCGCGCGCTGTATCACAAAGTCTGTCATTGAGTCGACTGGCGTGGTTTCAAATCCCCCGGTTCTACGTGGCAAGGAGTAGGGTTGCCTGTCCAACCTCGTGGGTTTTCTCCGGGTCCTCCGGTTTCCTCCCACTGCT